TAACAGGATTGTCGGCTCAGGGTTCTCCGTGATTCCATCCATTACCGTACACCCGCGAAACGATGGACCGTGCTCGAAAGAAACTCGAAGATTGAACGTGGAAAAGGAAGGAGGAATTCAATCTTTCTTTCTTTCTTTTTTTGTTCCTTTTAAATTTTCGACGAAGTTGCGAGTCCACGGGCATAAAGCTTTCCCTCGTGTCGGCTAATTCCAGGCTGACTCAGGCGCTAACTACGTGGATCCTATTATGTACATCAATTCCTTGAAGAGATAGCTAATACAGTTCGATAGAAGATATTAATATAGAATCATTAGAAAAACACATTCAACTATATTCCTAAACCGCTCGTCTGGTCTCTCTCTTTCTCTCATTCCGCACTTATTCCGTATCCCTCGTACTTCGTCCGGACTTTAAGCAAATTTCAAAGTTGACCCTTTCTTATTTAATTTCTGCCCTCCCCAAAAATTCGATTTCCAGGCGCAACATTCCTCGACCTAACGTTACGTTTACAAAATTGGCAACACTGAATAGATCTCGGAATATTGGCAAGTTTCGAGGGGTCTCGAAATTGTCGGACATGTCTTTTTTTTTTCTTTTCACGTTTCCTCCCGCCTCTGTTGCTTGGCTGGATTTAATTGGGGGCGAAAATTGTTGAAAAACCTATGACGACTCGCAGAGAGACGACCGCGGCTTCGAAGCAGCCACAAGGACGAACTGGTTGTTTTTTTCTTTTTTATACGACTTTTTACTGTATACATGCACACTCAGCTTCAAGAATCCCCGCGAGAATGGAATCGATCTTCGATCGACCGTCACTATTAGCGTAAATTATTCTTATTACTGTAATATCGAAAAGATTGTACTATATTAGTTGAACATTGATATCGGGAAAACAATGCCATTTATTAGCCTGGCATGGAACGAGGACTGAACTTGTTAATGACAATTATCGACGTCACTTATATCTAGAAAAATAGTGCAATTATCGACCCGAGTTAGACTTTACGGGTTTAATAATTATTATTACTCTAGTTAAGGTGCGAATCTGTCGAGCCACTTGCAGAGACATCATCAAGCAGTTGTCGCTACAATTTAGGGGAAGAAAACTAATACAGGGAGAAAGAAATTATTTCTCTAGAGAAGTGACCAGTCCGTCCCTGCGTACCTTGAAGTTTGCAAAGCTACGAATTAAGGGCTCTTCCCTTTCCGATCGGCAAATGCTTTTAGCAGGCAGTGAGAGAATAGGTTTACCGGAAGTGCGTAGTTCTTCGAACCGAGAGTATGTTCCTACGTATCGCTACATAATTATGCACAATTCATAATCACGTGTAACCTGTCGGCTCTGCCTATCGCTCGTAATTAACCCAAACGACAGCTAAACGTTACATCACGATCTCGAAGAGGCATGTCATTTACAAGACGGAAACTTTTCATTTTCACCCAGTGACATTTAATAAACAATCTCGCGACCCTGCGCGCGCATGACTTACGCGCGTACTTTGGCACAGAATTCTCAGTGACGTCACAGCTAGATCGACCGTCTCGATATGTAGAAATATCGAGACGAGTCGGTCCTCTTTTCCTCAAAGACGTGTCTTCCAGCGAGCGAACTTCTACTATTCGTTTTTTCCTTTTTTCCGCGACAGGGGTTGAAGTTGGAAGAGAGAAGTTCAGGGGGAAGGGTGGCACGCGCGCAAATATTTTTCGCCTCATTTTTAACGGGGCAGGTGCAGATATTAACAACCGAAGTTAACATCAAGATATACCGTTACGGTATTACAACGTAAAGGTGGATTTTCATCTACGAGTTATCAGGAGATTCGACGACCCTCCTGGAGGAGATTTTCTCCAAATTTGGATGATTTGAAATCGAGTGATCGTTTCGCTCGTTAACGTGCACCTGCCCCTCTGTGGCGAGCACATACAGCTTCGAGTCTTGGGAAAATAATAATATTCGTTCCATGAATTCCCGTTTATGTCTTTTAATTGCATGAGGAACCGACAGGTGGGCCATCGCGCAGGCATCGCGGCTCCAAATATAAATGCATGTCAGGAGTTATTTTCCAAAGTGGCGTAATGCCGTCGAGCCGATATTATTTTCTTTCAGTATCGACATTATCGACATTACAGCTCGCTGAAGTTGTATGTGCCCACGTGGAGTCGCTCCGTTTCCTCGCATCGACTTTCCGTTCGGCCGGATTACCGCCAACCAGGACGCGGCTACAGGGGAATCGCGCCGTCGGTTTCGCAAGCGCTCCTCCCGCTTCCGAGATACTTTTCGATTTAGCCGCGTGTTCTGTTATCGTAACCTGTACTTTTGGCAAGTTTTGTTCGTCTCTCTCTCTCTCTCTTTCTCTCGAGATTTCGTTACTTCCGCTACTCCTATCTCCTCTCTTTCTCTCTCGTTCTCCCTCCTTAAATATCGTAGGTAAAAGTCAACGCTTAGTTACCAGAACACAAGGCACTTGGCTTACACATCATACTTTTTGTTATTAGCTTCTTTTTGGTATAGCTCGGTGTTGAGATAGCTACCACGAAGAGAGGCGCTGCCTTGGAGGTGGCGAAAGAACCGTATTTGCGACCTCGAAACGTGAAATCACGACGATTTTTTCCTACCCCTCCGTTCCTGCGAAACCTCGAAATAGTCGAGAAGTCCATTTCGAGGGCAACTTTCCTAGCGGAATTTCTTTCAATCGAGCCGCTCGACGGCAGCGCTTCTCGCAAGTAGATGGAAATAACACGCACCAGTCACTCTCACAATATCCATAGAAGAAAATAGTTATATATATCATCGTACATATATACTATGTATNTATATATATATTTACTGTCAGCGGGTAAAAGGGCCTTGGCTGTATTTCCGTTAGAGCCGGGAGCGCGACTTGTCGACTGGTGGGTTCCGTTGGATCGTGGGAACGAAAATGGCGATTTCGAGCGGGCTTTCGGAGGAAGAACTTTCTCACGGGCGTCGACCCGTTGAGTTAACAAAGTTATCTTTCGACGCTGCTTCAAATCCAGCAACCTCAACTTTTTCCCTAATTTTGGCAGACCGGTCTTTTGGCTATTCGCGCGAATTTCGACGTTGGCGACAAACAGGTCTCATGCTCTCACTCGCACTCTCACCCGACCCAATATCTCGCTCTCACTCTCGCTCGAAAGCATCTTCGAAATCGCGACCGCGGAAAGTCCATCGGAAACTCACCCGGTGCCGTCCGCGGTAAGGTCTACTTTCCCGCGCTAAAGCTCGCGAAAATGAGCCTTAATGCGCAGTCGACGGGGCGAGCTCCTGAACGGATTCCACTGTCGAGATTTACTCTTAAACGGGCAACATCGAATTATTCGCAAAGTATTCTCTTAGGCTATGTTATTATACACGTGTGTACTCTTACTCTGGGACTATGTATACATATACATATATATATATCGCTTCCATATTTAATATTTATATCATATATGTATTAAATAAAATGGTACGCACATGTACGCAATGTAATGTGTAATTGCTAATCTTTATGTAAAGGTATAAGTGTATCGCTTTCAAGTAATACTGATGCACGTTTACGCTCGTTGTCCTGGCCAAGCCGCGGGGTCTTTTTACCCTTCGCGCACTTCCGGTAGTTATCACCCCTTGCTTATGTACTTCCGGTGATTATCACCTCTTACAAGTATTCCTCGTACTTAGTGTCCCGTAATGGCGATCCACTCTCGGCCTCGCCGGACCACGAGCTGACCATTATTTGTAATTAACGTTTATTATTCGCTTTTGTTCTGCTAAGTTACCCCCCTCCCCTTTAATTTGCTCGCTTTTTCACTGTAACACGGATGTGGCTCGTCGCCGCCATTTTGGGGTTCTGGAGGCCTCCAAGAGTCTCGACGGGAGCCATCTTCGTTTTTTACGACTTTTCGAACTCGCTTTCGTCACTCCCCGGTATCGTGGGCCTTTTTTATCGGTGGAAATGGCGACTCGAGACCACATCGCACTTGAAATTGACTCAACTGTTTCCCTCCCTCTTCAACCTTTGGTTTCCTCAATTCTACGCATTACAGGGAACTTCCGAGGGGAAAATACATTCGCGAGATATTTCGCCTTGAAAATGATTGTTGCATTTTGGGGCAAGATGCGCGACACGTAGACGAGTCCGATGGAAGGAGTAAAAGTGATTAGGCCTTAGGAGTTCAGAATCCTACTGGACAAATGATTTAACCTTAATTATTCAACGCATTGTTGGGAACGATACAAACATAACGGACGACTTTTTTTTTTCTTTCGAAGACTTTAGCGGATTTTTGAAGAATTTCTAGGCCGTGAATTAATGCGTAGATCGGTTAACAGTTGCCTGGGCTTTTTATTAATTTTCTCTCCCGAAATATCTCGGAATAAAATAAGCTTTTCCGTTGTTGAAGAGCTTGCTGTAATGCGCGATCGAATGCTACGTAGAAAACGTACTTAGGCCAGCTGTAGAGATCGCGAGATTTAAACAATTGTCAATATTGTCCGTATTGCTTGTGGCACCAACTCTTGAGCGATTAGGAGATTGATAGTGTACGATACAAGGTTATGACAAAATTGCACAACGAACGGTCCAACTATTAATTTTACATGCCCTTTTTTAATTCGTTGCTGTGAATCGTGTCAATTTATGGCAGCTAAAATTATGAACAACGTAGTAAATAATTCACGTATATAACGGAGGAGGTGTAAATATTCGTTGTGTAATTTTAGATACAATTTGTTAGATGCAAATAGGTTTTGACCGACAGAATTTGTCTGTCACGTTTAATTAAGTGGGGGTCTGCTAATTTAGGAGTAGTTGATGATATTTGTGTTAAAACTAGTTGAGCACATGTGTGAAAGTGACATTGCGGGTAAATTAATGATACTTGTAATGCTTTGACGATTTACAATTTTGCAGTGCAGAAGTTGGGAAATGAAAAATTCGGCAAATCAAGCTCGTTGGACGAACGTGGAATAAGGCGTGAAAAATAAATAGATACAGAATAGGAAATAATAAAATCAAATTTATGTATCCGTAACTTATACAATGCACAACATTTAAATAAAAGGTCTTACATAAGGAATAAAAAACGAGGGCTGACACGGGCCTAAAAGTCTAATCGACGAAATAGTCGCCACTTATGTGTTTCCATTTAATGTGATGTCCGGCGCAGTGATGTCAAAGTTCGGCACGTAATGATTAGAAATGTTGCTAGAGAGAGTATAAAATCCTGTCAAAAAGTGTGCAAAATGTATCGGCCGAATACGCAAGATGGGGTCTTACGAGAAGTCATGGAAAATGTTTGCCGGCGCCGATAAATTTTTCATACGTATGAAAATAAATATCGTCGAGCATAAACTATCCGCCGATCCTCCACCTTGTACAGTAAACAATCGAAAACTTGTGCGTAGGATTATCACGAAACTTTAGTATCGGTGATAGGAGAAATTCGAGAATCTCTCTTTAGAATACCCCGAGGGATTTGCGAGTGACTTTTTTGATCCTGCAAACACGACAATAATCGTGACTACACTACAGCTGGCCAAGCTCCATTTACTTCAAAAACACTATTAACAATACGTTTAATAGTAAAAGTTAATAGAGAATAGTATAACATCAAATAGAAGAGTATAAAGAACCATGCTGGCGTATAGAGATAGACATTAAAGTAGGTAATAGGTAAGAGGACAATAGATTACGATATATCGATAATCCGTAATAACGTTTTCATTCGTTAAGAGTAATTTCGCATAAACGTTGATGATTCTTTAGTAGACTTTTTTTCTCTTTAATACAGTATTTTGAGCATATTCCTCAGGTGTACAACCACGCTACACTTTCTTCATTGAGTTGTACCAATACTTCCCATCGCAGTCGAATCGGTGCGACTCGTTCGACAATATTTTAAACAATCATAGATAAACCTACAGCGGAATCAGTTATTAATGAGGCGTGGAATGATTACAATATAAAAAAAAAGTATCGAAAGAGAAACGTAATTAACGAAATGTAGCATGAATTCAAGATTTTTCACGTATCGAGAGAACTGCAAAAATTAATTCCACTGCAATTTTTATTAATGGTAAAGAATAATTTGGGAAATTGTTTAACATATTGACAATTATCCGTCACTCGTAATTCGACGTCATTGGAATATCGGTACAGCTCACTAGTTGATGGCACGGGTCTTTCTATGTACAAATACGTAATACCATATACCACATACCATTTAAATACATCACATATTTATCATTTTGTTATATATATATTTTTCCATATATATATATCATTATTATTTTTCTGTGACGTGGAGGGACTCGTTTGTACAATTCATGCGTATCTTCGTTACTGTTTCATTGCTTCGTTTATATGTATCTGCACCTTTTTCTGGTCAGACAGCCTCCAGTGGTTTTCGAAAAGACATTCTACATCCTTACTGCTTCAAGCTCGGAGCAGAAATCATTTTCATAAATATATTTCCCATTAAATGACTTCGTTCGAACAATAAATTAAGTCAAATTAAAGCCTTTTATCCATTCGAAGTACTGACAAAAGTTTTAACAAAATTGTATTACCGAACATCATTGGATACATTTTCTAAAACATCCACACAATTGTACATAAATAATTCTTCCGAACTTGAGCCAATACTTTCCTGCTTTGATTATTTTTCCACTAACTATACCGATGCCCTTGAATCTCTAAGCCTGTTTATAAGAGTTATATTACGTACAATAATAATTATATTAGTAGAAACTTAGTTTCCGTAACAAGTGTATTGTCTTAAATGATATGTCTGCTAATTTTGTTGCTTTCGACCTACACCCCGAGCCTTATGGTCGGAATTCGTAACAATTTTACTCCTTAAATGAACTAACTTTAAGATCCAAGGTATATAATCTTACCTAAAGTACAATAGACCTTCTCTATACCTATCCCCGGTTTCCGACACACTGGAGGCTGTTAAGCAGAATAATATATTTTTTTTCCTGAATCTCGCAACGTCTGTAACTGCAAAATTGCAAAGGAGTAATCTCAAGGGCGCATCATCGCGAGAATAAATAAATAAGTTAATCAATAAATAAATAAATACACGAATACGTATCTCTTAGTTTATGCATTAGACATCTACTAAATGTACAGGAACAGCGTAACTGAATAAGTTAATAGAATTAATTTCATAACTCAATCGTAATAACTCGATACTAAGAACCGAGAAAAACTCATTCCCACGAACGGTCATCGATGTACGGGTAAATTGAGTGAAAAATTAGCCGGAGTCAACGGTAAATGTTAATATCATCGATACACGCCCTTTTTTCGCTCCTCCTTTAATCGCGGGTCTGATCTGTAAATTAACGAATAATTCAGATAATATTCTCTGTGTGGCCGGACAATTTGATTTTCATTTAGTAAGGTCTAGTTAGATCAGGCATGGAAGGAGGGGCTGAAGCATTTCGGAGAAAAACAGACGCACGTTAAGGACGAGTTAGTGGAAGATAATGGTCGGAAGGTCAGACGAGAGACCGAAGACTCCTTCGACTCGTCTAAACGAATTCTCGATTGGCTTTGCCGTGTCCGCGAGGGTCTCTAGGAAAAAGTAGAAGATACGTAGGTGGCCGATTTCGAGGAGAGTCAATCGGAGGCGAGGAGGTCGCCTTAATAGTGCCCCGGCGGTACGGGGGAGAGAGGGTTAAAGTTATAAAATTTACAGCGCGTTTCTCGTTTTAAAGGTAAAAGTCATTAGGACGAGCGTTTAACAAGGAATAACAATACTCTTAGAAGGTAGTAGAGAGCTATCGCGTCTACGATTGGCAAACCTCTTGAACAACAATTTAGAGTTTCCTCGAACGAAACTTGATATACGTATATCGACAACGTTTACACTACACCGTTAAGAGTTACGGTTTAGAATTGAGCTATGCGCGTCTCGTATTCCCCTCTCGCGTAGAAAAAAAAGAAAAAAATGCTCCCGAAACGACGCCCCGACTTAGCACCACTGAGTTTGAGTTAACTCGAGTTTAATTTGCCAAAACCGCAGCCAGATCGGACGAAACGCCCTTTCTTGGTTGTGCGACGTCGCGGCGGCCATTTTGGTACCGGAGGCGAAACCAAGATGGCCGCCGCGCGGCGTCGAGTTCGGCCTTCCGTCTCATCGGGCGCAGAAACGTCGCCTTGATCATTGTCTAGGGGTAAAACCAGGCTCGCCAAGTAAAATTGAAAAACGTACGACCCGACATTGTGTTTGCAAGAGTCTCGCCACGTAGGCCTCAGTAAGGTAGAAAAACCAAGCCGAGTATATATACATACATATATACGTATATATGTAGGTACATATTTAATATATATATAGAACCCTCCTAAAACAACCTAGGAACCTAGCCTAAATGATTTGCCGTTAAATCCGTTCCAATTGTACGTACATACAGACATTCAAGTACTATGTACAGGCATGTACACGTAGTATGTACAGGTGAGCTAAATTAACGATCGCTTAACTAACGCGGCGGTCACACTGGAAAACATTAGGTCGTATTCCCGTGTGCGTGTGCGTCCTGTGCACGCGTGTCACTTTCTTACCGAGTCCAAGTACGGATGTGAGTGTGCCTACGTGTGTACATCTGCATTACATACTACGCGAGTATACAGAGCCGCTCTCTTTCTATATATATATAGAACACCCAGTGTCGGCGACGCCGAAACCTGCGGAGTGAAACTTGAACAACTTTCGTAGAGGACTAATCGCCTCCCTCTTTCTCTCTCTCTTTGTATACTAGAAATGATACTTAATCGGCTACGTCGAGATTCATATATTAAAATCTAGTCAATCAAATATCGTCGCAGCGTATTTTAATTAACAGAGGTAACGAAACTAGGCCGGCGAAAATGGTCGCGGGGACTTTTAACAATTTCCCTTGTCGGCAAGGGAACCTCGCACCCCGAAAATTCGAATTCGAGGGAAACGTCGAAAATCTGCGAAGCAATACGCGAGACGAAGATAAAAAATCTGTTGGAGGAGAAATCCTTCCACGAGAAGAAAATTTTCTTTACCTGTTTATGTATTAGTAAATCTTCTTTTCTTTTTTTTCTTTAATTAACCCCCGAATCGAAATTCCTGGATAGCGCAACTTCCTTGCCAGCGAGGTTTCGACTAATTAACTAAAGTACACTTAGAACGAGCGTACGAGGAAGTACCTAATCCTTCTTTCGCCGACTTGAGAACCTGTATCTTAGACCTCAGGTGATTCAAGGAAGTCAATTGAGTTCCTGCATTTCGCCCGAATTTCGTCTCGGGGAGAAGGAAACGCCCTTTTAAACGTCTAGCTTACCGTTAAATACCAAAGCACGTAACTCACATTAATTTAAAGTCAACGGATTGTCTTAGGGAAGGGGGGAGGGATGGCACAGGATCCCTATCGGAAAGCACGAGGTACGTTTCCGAGTCGGTTGCGGAATTACGATGGATTCCACTTGTGCCATCCCGCGCTACGATTATCGTAAAGTACATTAAACGTGGCGCCTCTTTCTCCATTGAGCGAAAGACTGGCTCTAGAAGAGGTTTTCAACGCGCGATGAATTATTTCTACAATTTTGAGTCGTTCTCCAATTACGAAGTCACCTCGGGCACGTCGTTGGAAAGGCGAGTTCCTTTCTACGTATAAATTCACAGCCGAAGCACGCTAATCGATTAGGCGATTACTTTGTAAAGATCAGTCCAATAGGATTCCCTCTCGTAAGGAAACCCCGTGAAGTTGAAGGGTTGAGGTTAAAACGAATTCCGTTTGCACGAGGGGTGAACCGGAGCGTAAATGTTCGACGAACACCGAGTACGAAAGGTGAAGCGGTTCTTTCAGGTAATTAAATAAATACTTTGAATTGTCCGAGTAGATCTCGGGTCCTCATCCTCTCGGATCCGTAAGAAGAATCGTATAAAAATGGCCCTCTTCCCAAAGTTCCCTTACGACTGAAACGAGTTTTCATAACCGCGTCTCGGGAGGCACCTAAGCCCGCCTTTCCGACGTCCTTGAGAATTTGGGGGATCCACTGACGGGCTCAAGTCGACTAGTCGAGGAAAACAAAGGAACCCTTTAAATAAGTTAAGGACGTCGAAGTACTGAGAAAGACGTAACAGGTAACAGTAGTGTCTTGTGGCACAGTCAGCGAGCTCGCGCCCGCTCTTATAATACATTATTTCTATAGATAATCGAAGCTATATCTTCCGTCGGCTCACCTCGACGTCCGAGCGGCGTCCGTCGCTCGCGAAGAGTCGGCCGAGGTCCGTTCCGTTTAGTTCCGAGGCATCCCCCGAGAAGGCGCCACCGCTCCGTAGGCCGGCTCTCGTTTTCCGCGTAGTGCGCGGCTCCCCTTGGGCCGATTTCGACGGGATTTTTTCCACTAGCTTCCTCCTGGTCTCCATCACCCCCTGCGAGATTCATCTCCGGGTACCCGTCGCGGGGAAAAGTCTGCCGGCGATAATTTACCCTGTCCTCCTAGACCGAGCGGTGCTCGGCTCGCCCCGCTCCGAAGGTCCACTCTCCCTATAGGCTTACTTGCGGACTTAAAAAGAAATACTCGGATTTGTGCACGCCTTGGCATTTTCGTTAGTCGAAGAGGTACCCTTTTGTTAGTTCCGCGGCCGAGGGGCCGCATAAATTAGTTAACGTTTTATCAGGTAAACGAGGGGCCCCAAAATAGGCCCTGTTGCCTGCCTCGAGTGAGGGAGGCCTTCCCTGACTAGGGCTCTCATCCAGCTCTTTCTTCCAGCTTTGGTAGGGTCCCTAGTCGGGAAAGAAATCCGCATTGCCGGTCTTTCTAGATTCCCTAGGTCTACTCGACTAATCTCGACGGAACGACACGGTTCGCACGGTGTTTATTAGCCTGGAGGTATCAGCTAACGGATTTTCGTGCACCCTGCGTCGTACTATCGCACCGTCTTAACAGCCTTCGTTAAGGTAACTTAAGTATAGCCTGTCACGATTCCTATGGGGGCCTGAGCCTGGTAGGGTTGTGCCATGATTGGTTGGCCCCTCGACCAATGGTGTCCGCGACGCTGGACGTCATTTGTTGCTGTTGATAGTCTTGGCCCTGCTGGGAGGCGCCGTTGCTCTGTTGCTGCTGCTGCAGAGTATGCTGAGGCTGCTGTTGTTGCTGTTGCAGTGCCTGATGCACGTGCTGCTGCAGCGCTTGGTGCGCTTGTTGGGCTTGCTGCTGCTGCTGTTGCTGTGCAGCGCCGGATTGCTGCCTCTTACATTCCTGACCCGTTGAATCGGGCGAGGGCATTGGTCGATGAGACTTCATGTGGGCACTTCTGCTTTTCACTTTGTTGAAAACTCTGAGAAAAAGCAGAGAAATCGAATTTTGAGTTGATCAGCTTTTTCATCATTTCTCGACTAAAGGACGGACTAAAGATGCTGGGCAAGTGCGAAACTCTGAAAGAGGCAATTACTGGTAGCGGGATTGTATAGGTTCGATCGGACTTTTTTTTACTAAGCAATTTGAGGGGTACCGTAATTCTCTTCGGGTTCTGGAAAGAAGGAACTGTGACTACGACGCGTGTAGGGACATTTAATCTACTGGTTACATTTATCGAGTTAGAAAGTATGTGAATGGGAAATCGGGACCAATGTTCTTCAACGTCATATTTAACCCCTTGCGTTGTGAAGCCGCATCGAGATTCTCGAAGAGTATCGACGAATTGTTGACGAAAGATTTTCTTTATCGGTAAAAATCATCCTCTTCTTCATGAGTATAATAGTTATTCAAATTAATATGACACAGAACAATGAAATAGGTCAGTAGCGATATACATAGCGAGTGAAGGAAGGATTAATGCGGAACTTCAGTAGACTTGCAAAAAATTCGAAGACGAGAGAGCTGTTAGATATTTTCCGTATTAATTTGTAACATGAACATTGTGGATACATGCATCTTGAAAAGTCGAAAAGTAGACAGGCCTAAATAGGTACACTTAGGGCAACACAAGGGGTTAAGTCAACAATAAGTGTAAAGACCATCGTCGTACATTGAGAGACTTTGTCGATTAAAAATGAATGTTTATGCGAACATTTTTCAATGTACAACTCGGTTGTGAAGAGTGTAGGGCGATTTACGGAACATTTCTAACAAAAAGTACACCATCGCGTTTCAGCAACATGTACCATCTCTATTACCCTAAGGGTACAACGTTTTATCTCTACAACCTAGAGTTCGATATTAATATCTGCAGATTGCAGCGCTTTTTCGCACTGTATCCGGAACGCGGTATATTTTCCCCTTTAAGGGAGGACGGGGGAGCCTTATTTGGATTTTCCCGGCTACCTGAATTGCAAACGGCTTCGAGGATCTCTCCGGCTGACTCGAGTGTTGAAAAAAAGAATTAATTTTCAAATAATTCTCAGAGCTATCGATTTCTTATCTCGAGGACCACTCGACCCCCTGGCTCCTCGTCGGCCATTTCGCATTCGAAGAGCCAAAGGGTGAGCTCGTGGGATGAGGCCGGAAAGTTCGTTCGTATATATTGATCCGCATTGCAGCGTTCGCTGGAAAAAAAAAAAAAAATTCCCGAGGATCGTCAAAATTGCGAACCAGTTAACCCTCTCTTCCGGTAGGTCCCTCATTACATCCTCCCTCTTTTCACGCTCCAATTACTCCACGATTCTTTCATTTCGTGCGTCCCTACGCCTGCTTGACGTTTAATTCGACTCTTAAAATTTTCGGAAACGCCTTTTCCATTGTCTGGCACTACCGGTTCTGGATTCGAGTCGGCGACCTCCATTTGCATGGTTTAGGTGCCTAGCTCTTACGTTAATCCGTTTAATCCCGGCTATTAGGAAGCATTGCAGCGGTGGCGGTTAATATCGGAACTTAGGCCGAATTTGTCGACTTAGGCGCGGTTAAATATCGGAAATGGATGATTTAGATTAGAGATTAGAGACTTACTTCCCGCAAATCTTGCAGGGGTAGTGAAGTGGGGTGGACACGGGTAGTTGCTCGGTAGTACTAGTGTGAGTTTGTGAGTTGGTGTTGACTGTGGCGCGGCCGGTATTGCCGGCTTGGGCGGTTTGGGTGCTCCCAGCCATCGTTACTGTTACACTTCCGCTAAAGCTCTGACAACACAAAGAAAACACAAAGCCAAAATAAACAACACAACCAAACGACAACGACAGTACTCGGCGCAGAGTCCACGCACAAACATCGGTCCTTCTCAAATAAGCACGTACAGGGCACGGGTCACAACGTACGACATGCGACATTTACAACGTTCACGTAGCGCATCTTTATTCCAGAGAGTTGTGCAATTTTCTGCCTCGACGACGCGTCGCACGTAGAAACGTCTAGGATGAAAGTCGTAGCGCATTCTATCACGACCAACTTTCGTGGGAAGCATTTCTCGGTATCATGCTTTGATCGAACAGTAAATCGGTTTCAAGTCGAGGTAGTCTTTGGGGTTAGTTACCGAGTTGGTCCCCCTTACTTTATTGTACATTTTCTTCTCTGGTCTATTTAAGACGTTAACGCCGACCGGGTGAAAAATACAGACTAGAACGAAGCTTTCGTTTCAACGAGAAATTAACGACCCCCAAAAGAATTCGACAAATCAAAGACGCGAGGAAGTTACTCCGGTCCTTGAAGGAGCCATTGGAAGAGTTCTCTTTTCCAAGCTTAGAAGAGGCAACGGTAATACATACTACCCCGCCTCGTGGTACCAACAACAATTATTATGCACGTCAATTACACCAAATTAATAGTCACAGAAATTGTATACGAAGCTCTGATACGTGAACGAGGGAAACTCACATCGGAACAGTCGTATGCGAATAACCTCAGCTCTCCTTCGCTAGTCGTCAGGGTTGCCGAGCTCTCCCTTTCGTTCGTCTGCAACTGGATTTACAGTGGGGTTAAAAATGGAGCGTTCTAATTTTTAGGCGTTAAATTTCCACCTAGAGAAACTTACCAAGGTGCGATGGAGAATTGATTTCTCCTCGCTGAAGTCCATCTCCGTGACGGAGGCAATGGCGTCCCTTAGTTCCCTGGTGTCCTTTGTGTCCTTGCATTCCTTGCTCTCGCTTTTGATCTTTGGTTTTCCATGGCGCGCCCTTACCCTTTTGTACTCGTCAGGGCAGAGCCTCTTCCAGAGGTAGTAGAATTGCACGCATTGTTTCGCAGACTTGGTGCCCACGTCCCGAGATATCCCGGAGAAGTTCTTGTTGTACTTCATCAGCCCTTGGTGAAACATGTCCATCTCGTGAAGCGTCCATCGATCGGATTCGTGACACTCATAGCTGAGCAGAGGATGCTCGGCCGGCAACGTAGGAGTCGGTCTCATAAGCTTCAGCATCGCTTCCTGGAGAGGAAACTTCGTAAGTTAGACGAAGCGAAATAGTCGATTAAAAATATTTAATGAAATTAATGTAATAATTTAATATTCTTCGCAAGATTTTATTGCAATTTCAACTAAAGAAAATCCACTTACGTGAATGTTGCCCTTGCACATGTGCAGGAGGTGAAGAGCGTACTCCTTGTTCCTCCCTCCGCCAGGTACGGCTGCACAGCAGGCGAATTGTAAGTACATCTCAACTGTAACAAGATATTGTCCTATAGCTCTAGATACAAGCCGATGCAACCATAGTGTCACAAGGTATACAACTTACGTTCGTTGTTAGTGAGCTCGTTATTTATGCCAGGGTCCCAGAGGAGATGATCGGCATCTGGACCTCCTCTTCCTCGATCCCCGTCGCTGCCCAGAAGCGGTATCGTCGCCTGGTACCTGGTGCCAATATTAATCCTGGGAGGAGGTCCATCGTTCCCTTGGGAATCATCGGAGCTGAATTCCGATTCCCTCTCGTGTTGGTGGAGTCTAGCGTAGAGGCCTGGACCGGGTCTTGAGGGGTCCAGGATGGGCGGTGGGGTGTAGCTGCTGTCCCAGTGTCTGTCGCAGGCTCTTCTCAGCCTCGAAGGATACGAGTGAGAGTTGGAATAGTGTCCGTCGATCCTTTGCCTCTTCCTGGACTGCCTGATGGGGCTGGCAGGGATGCTGGTGGGACTGAGGAACACGTCTTCGTCCAGGAACTCCTCCTTGATCTGCTCAACCGGGATCGGCAGGTTCCCGATGGTCTTGTGCTTTAGGGAGTTCTTCACGGAGTGGCTCGTCTGGATGAGAAACTTGGCCGGGTTGATGGCGTGCTGGTGCACCTGATTATTCTGATACTGAGTTTGAATATTCAGCGCTGCGGAGGCGACGTTGACGGTCCCAGGCTCGACCTTTGGCGTGGCCAAACGAATCTCTTTCCTGAACGCAAGAGCAGGGCTCAGCGTCCCCGCTGGTAACAGGACGTTCGCTTTCTGCAGTCCAGCTGTCTGGATGAGCTTGAACTCTCCATTGTCCACGACGATGCCAGCCAGGCTGCCGTTACCCAGACCGAAGTCCATGAGATTCTGGCTGGTGATCAGCTTGTAGGACTGGAACTCGAACTTCTTGCGGCCTGCCGAGAAGTCCTTTGGACTGGACGATAGCAGCGGGTCCTCCGAGTTGGGCATCATCTGGTTCTGCAGAGCATGGTGTGGGGACACGGGGAAGCTCGAACTGGAGAATGCGGCTGGGCCTGGAGATGACACCGACGATGGCGGTAGAGACGACAGCGGAGACGGCGCCGGGGTTGCCGACAATGGACTTGGCAGCGGCGAGTGTGGATTGGGCGAACTGCCATACAGGTCGGTGTCGTTCTCCGACTCTCCTGGCAGCACCTCGCTCAGGGCCTCCTCGATGGCCGCTGCAGAAGACATGGTCGTCGTGTAGTAAGCCGCCGACAAGGGCGAGGATACTTGTCTGACGCTGTCGGGGTCTTCTTGGGGACTCAACAGTGGCAGGCTCCCCGTCAAAAGCCCCTCTTGACTGGCTGGTGGAGTCGGGTAGGTGAAACTAGGACTGTCGTGCCGCGTCAGAGGAGATGGTAGTGGTGACTGCGTTGGAAGCGTGTGCGGACTTTCCGTATATTGCGCTCCATAGGTGCTGAACTCCGCCAAGGAGTCCGGCAACGGCGAGTTGACTAACGCCTGGAGCACTGGATTGACCGTATGTTGGGAAGGAAAGCGGTCCTCCAAAGAGATATCCGGCAATTGTTGCGCGGTCTGATCCTGGAGCAGACTGGCTGTCTGGAACTGAAACGACATAGAAGATCGTGAGCAACGCAGGACTCGATGGTTTTTAAAGAAGAATCCTTAGGTACCCCGTAACTAAGCGATATTTTTGGAGGGTTCGTTGCCTGTGATACCCGCGGGAACCTCGGTTTGCCTTCGCCATCGGTTCAAGCAACGCCAACGAGCACCCTTCGCGATAATAACGCCGATCCGGAAAAATCAGCCCGCTTTCCCAAGCGATTCGGCAGCAAGCGAGAAAACTTCAGGGTCTCGATGGCTCTCGTTCCCCCGAAGAGTAGAAATAAGCGAGGGATCTTCAGCACCCGGGGATCCGTCCACTTGAATCGCGATTACGGATCGGCCTTGAGGGCTGCTCTCCAAAGGATTTCTGGCGTTTCCCTCTCGGTTTTAACGGCGGCCACGACAGACGGAAAGGCACGGAACACCGTTTCGCGAGCGTCGGTCGTTACTGCGCCAACTACTTAGATAATTCCCCTTATTAGATACCAGGGTACTGGCTGCGCCCAACGTAATGGAAACTAAAACGTTTTCAAGCACGACGCGGAATGCATAATGAGACGCCGGCTAATTGGGGCGTCAAAGGATCCGGAACATTATGTCTCGGTGTCCTGGAGAACGCGCGAATCCTTTTCCCGTTCGCCGTCCCCGGTTTGCGAGCAAATTCTGGTCGCCTCTCTTCAGGTTTGGGAGCGAACCAGACCAACCACCTCCAAGTTCTCCATCCTTGATCCCTTGTACACTTCGTCCAATGGTTTCCTATCTCTCCGGCGTCACCATCAACGGTACCCGATAAGTTCTCATTCGAATCCCGCTCAATAGCGACACGTGAAACGGGAAACTGGGAACTGGAAACAAGAGACTCCTTCGCCGTTCCGGTGCGACGCAGAACCGGAGATCGTATTACAAACTCGCATAATTCCTGGGGTAGGAACGATACGCCATCGAACCAAGAGCTAGAGATAACTTGTGCCTCGCCTCCTGCGAAAGCAGCTTGACTCCTTTCAGAATTCCAGAGCCTTGAGTCGGTCAAAGTTCTCCGACGAATCCTCACCTGAATCGAGTCCAACTGCGTGGCGTGAAGAAGAACGCTGTCCGGGACCGCCGTGACCTGCTGGAAGACTTCATCCTGGAGACTGGGACTAAAGTACCCTCCATCTTCCGAGTATCCCGTCATAGTGAAGCTTTCCGTGACGTTGGGTTGGACCTGGTTCTGAGTCTGCTGCTGTTGTTGCGGCTGTTGCTGTTGCGGAGGCTGGGCTTGCTGTTGGGGCTGTTGCTGTTGCGACTGTTGTTGGTTGGCGGTCGGCTGATACGTCATCTGCATCCTTTGGCCGGAATCGGTGGCGCCTCTCGTCACTGCCATCTTCGTCGTGCCCTGTAACGATAATCGTCAGATAGCTCGATCGCGCGTCTTCGTCGCCGAATGATTAATTATAGCTCGACAACTCGCGAGTACAACAATTAGACCCACCTTCAGGATCATATCCGCCAACGCCTGCGCTTGCGCCTGGGTCTGGGCTTCTTGTAGCTGCTTCTGCACCGCTGCATGACTCGTCACCGTCACGTTCGGCTGGCGGAAGTGCTCGCTGTCAGAATGTCGACGTACCTTCTCACCTGCTGCCAACGGAGGCGGCGCAGGCACCGCGAAATTCGTTTTGCCCATTGTATGGGGGGCATTGTCGGTTTGAGGACCGAAGGTGGCGTTGTTGGCTCGAGCCTGCGCGGCGTTGGGGTCCGCCGCTGCACAGAAAGGAGGAAAAGCGCATTTAAGACATAATTATGATAGATTAACCGTCATGGAGGAGACGACTTCCGACGAGGATCGGCAACCGTTTTGGACAAGCCTCGAGAGAGACGGCCACGTCGCTCCATCGATCATCAACGGCCTCCGGGTCTTCGGTAATTACGAGCAGCGCTCGGCGCCTGACGCCGCGAACGCGGCGATATTCCCTTACCTGGAGAAGTCATAAGCTACAATTTTCCCGATAACGTTACGTGATAAGGCATTTGGCGCTTTGGCGACGTTTCGATCCGCCCTTCTATGGCGTCAAAGCTTTGGGATCAACTCGCGAGGGTCATGTCGCGCGCTCGGCATTCCCGCGTCCCTAATTCGGGCTGGAACTTGCGCATTAATTTCCGAGTGCCTCGTCGAGGATAAAGGTGGAGGCGCGGAGCGTCGCCGCCACATACTGCGGAAGCGGCGCCGGTATGAATAGACGGCGAACCGCCATTAACTCTCGAGCAAGGGTGGGATTCGAAATTCTCGACTGCGACCGGTCATTTGGAGCGGACGCTTCGACAACCTTCGAGTGGAGGACCGCGCTCCACTTCGGACGATTCTTTTTACCTTCCCTATTATTATATCCCTCCTTTTTTCCCTCCATCGAGGCGTCGGCGAACTCGGCGGTGGAATAAACATCGACGGCGAAACGAGCGAGACGAGGAGCTGGGACAAAAGGATGTCTCCTCATTGTCCCCGTTCCTCCGGCCTGCTGACAGGCGTCAATGAAATTCACCGCTCCACTTTGCGGGCCTCGGTCCTTTGGATTTTCACCCCGGTAATTGGGGGGGAGGAGGCGTTGAAGGAGAATATGGCGGGCCAATTAAGGAGCGGAGTTGCGTCCGGTAATTTTCAATGACGTCCAAGATGATCCCGGGGCGCGGCGCGCATCCGGTGCAGCGATCGACGCAGACGACTCTCCCGGATGATGGACGTCCTTTCACGGATGATGGACCTCCCGATGCTCGGCAAAACCGTCGTTTTGGCCTGGAATGCATAAAAGCGACGACACCTCCCGTCCCGGTGCCACCCTGCACCGGGTTATCTCTTCGATGCGCATCCCTGGTCGGCTCTGGGTGACACGGTGCTCGTCGACGCGCCATTGCTCGCTGGTCGCGTTGTCAGCAACGCGTCCAGCGGTTCGACTGTCGGGGGAAAATTATTTATCGATCTCGAAGCGCTCTTTCGGGGCCGCAGTCGCGGCTGGCCGGGCTTTCAAAAATAATGGGCCGCTGATGTTTCCGCTAAATGGCTTGTAAACAATTTCGCGCGGCGGAAACCGCGCGCCACCCGACCCCACCGTCGTCCTGGACGGTCCTGGGTTATATGGGGCGCGTTTCGGGGCAGAAGGGACTCTTTCCAATTTTCGGAGTGCTTTCCATCCAAACCCAGCGATGGGACGAAGGATCCTCGAGCACTCCGTCGGATGACTCCGAGGCGGACACTTCTGGCGAGTCCGGCAGGACCGACGTCCTCGAATCCTACCGGACTCGCTCTTTCCCCTTTTCCAGTCTCCGGTCACCCTCTATCTGTTTCTTTAATCGCATCTCTTGCTCCTGGGATTTAATTCCTCGAGTCCCTATATATACTCCCGGAGCTCGAAATCGGAATTCAATTACCCCGTCCATCCGGCGGCCAAAACGGAGATGAGAGGTGTAAATCAACCGAGTCAAATGGGACTCCTAGAATTGGTCTTGAGGTCCGCCCACTTAATCCGGGCCTCGTCTTGGTATTCGAGCCCTCGATATTACATTGTTAGGTCTCGGCACTGGGCCAAATGACGGGCCAAAGTGGCCATCTCGGACTCGACCACCGAGTTGGGAGGGAAATCACGCGGCCGGTGAACTTTTATTAATTTCCTCTTAATCGGCGAGGAAGCTAAAGGCCGGATTTCTCCGCAACAAACATTTCCCTCGAAATCGAGACACCGTTTTGGGCAGTTCGCGAGAGTATAACACGGTTATCCTGGAAACGAGGGAACGAGGTTTTGGTTTGGCGACATTTCGAGGCGTGTTCTGGAGAGATCCTCCGGGGTGATCGACCTCCTGGTGGCTATGAGCGAGTTCGCCGTTGGAATTTTCTTGGGAATGTGGAAGTGAAAATTCGTTTCGGGATGACGAACGGTGGTTGGGACGGATTTTTGTTCCTCGCAAGAGTGCTATGGAGAGCTCTAATGGGGCCTCGTCCTCGGTCTCCACAAATAGGTCCGACCACTCCGAAAGGGGAGAATTCGGACGCTCCCAGAAGAGGCACGAGGACAATCGCGTTTCGGAGGCTGGGCACCTTCTTGGCAGGAATTCGCCTACGAAATCGTGCATAAATCGCCGCGGACGTGCACTTTGTTGCACAGACCCCAGGCTACGTTTCCTACGTGATTTATCGGCGCTACGTGGATGAACCCAGTAATATTTTGCCCGTTGCGTGCCCCGTAAATCATTCGCGTTCGGCAGCTCATGGACGTGGGACGTTGCGAAATGTGACGTTAAGCAAGAGAGAGAGAGAAGGGGGGTGAGGGGGGATTACAACCATGGACGAAAAGGTAAGGAAGTGCTCTTTTCCACCTGTCGCACGAATTCGGGCCATAAAACGCAGATATGGCAGAATGTCCTGTCTAAAAAATTGGATTCCAAAATTTGGGTTAAGGCGATCGTATCGTGTGATAGGTCCGAAAAAATGAAAAATATTTTATTTTATAGATTGCTTTTATAATATGTCTCGAATACGTAGAATAAAGGATTTTTCAATATTCAAAGTCAGTGGGTTGTTACGGATGTAGAACGGAGCGGGTGTTCGGAAAGAAGAGGGATGGTGCACTGGAGACTTCGTTATGATGAATTCAATGAATTCGGCTGCTACCTAAGAACTTTCTGACTAATGCTCATGTAGAGGAGATACTAAACTCATTGGAGATCCCTTCCTATGTTAAACGAGACGCTACAGGAACGGTTAGTTTAGTTTTGGCTGGGCGTTCGAGCGGTGGGTATTTCAAAAATGCATTTTTTTTTTAAATTGGCTGACACAATTTCTAAAAAAACTGCTGAATCATCTTGCTCAAATTTATATGGTATGTTCAGTACACTTATAGTTCTCGCTCGAACTAGGATAATTGTGATATCTGTCATGGTTCTTTCTTTTTTAGCAAACTTGAAAAGTCGAAAAAAAGACAAAAATCGGAACTAAATTTTCAAAACTGTGCCAAAGATTTAATTTTCAATATTTCCATTTAATCCTTGTTCCGGCTACGATCACAGGTCTACGGATTAAAATGCCATTTCACTTTTTGATTTCCGATGAACGGAACAGCCGAAGTTATGTCACTTATTTTTCACATGTGTGTCTTTCGAACACTGTAAAGTCGATTCCAATCAATATTTTCGCTTGAAAAAATTCCGAGTGACTGTATAAATGTTAATAAATATATTGTAAAAATTCCAAGATGGGGTGTTTTCGTGGTTCGTTAGAAGAAAATTCATAAGAAAGAGCGAAAAAATACAGACGTCATACGGTACGACTGCCTTAAGAAATCTCTCCATATTATTTCGATTAGTTTTGAAGCGGGTTCTTAAAGAAAATGAGAATTGTGGGATGAATGTGGGATGTCCGGTGAATGATTAAATAACGCAACGTTTTAATGTCGGATGGTACACGCGAGGGCTAGGCTGTCCGTTATCCAAAAAGGACTATTTGCATGAATGTTTGATCTCGTCGATAAACATTCATTGGGCCGACAGGAAATACCTTTAACTACCTGTGCCTGCAGCCCCGTGTTTGTTAATGGCAAACACGCTGTCACGTATGTCAACGAGGAATTGTTCAATAATGGAGTTACAATGTGCAAACCGGCAGCTCCCTGTGACTACTTCGGGAAATCGAATGTACACAGCTGAAGTTTGTTTCGTCTTTTCCTGCAGCTGCTTCAGCGGTCGCTCGGCAGATAATTAATGCTGTTGAAATTAATTTCGCCAATTTGTATGTTTCTATGATAGAAGGGTTTAATAAATCAGTAGTCACGTACCGGTTGTTCTTTTCTGGATGATCTTCTCCTCGATGAGCGCTCTCACGCTCACGGAAGCTGTCTGCAAGGGTGGACCGACCACTTCCCTCTTCTCGCTCTTCTTGTTCTCGGCATCCTGAAAGCGGATAAAGAATATTGAAATGAAAAATCAATCCATTAAGGAAGTTCGCCGCCGCGGGTCGAATTTCAAAGTATGCAGACAAACAATTCCCGGATCTTAACGCAAATGCAGCTTAACGCATTTCTTTCCTCGTTTGCGACAGTCCCAGTCAATACCCGGTATCGGTAATTACGTAGCGCGACTCGCAGATAGCGGCTCCAGGGGAAAGTCCTTTCCCCTAGTCCGGATAACGAGGGGTGATAGGCGCGCTGCGTTGAGCGCAGTCATCGCAGATTAGAAGCCAGCCCTGGTAAATTGATACGTAGGAGCGGAGCACGCGTTAGCTAATCACTGAGCGAGGCTAATTGAGGCTCCATTCGATTATCTCCTGATGGAATCTCGGGATGCGCGATATCGCGGCACCGCACGCAACGGCTGATCCGCGAGGTTTCCAGCAGCCTTCACAGCCCGTGATTTAGCATAAACGCAAACCTCCCACCGACGTCGAAAGCCCAAACCATTGGAGAACATTTTATCCTTGCCCGAAATTAAACGAAACGCACATAGTATCGATACTCTATAACGGAGATACTCCTAAAACCGTGTCATTAACCAGGATAAACGACTTTCCGCGACAAGTTGCGTGCCAGTGGCTCGATTCCTGGAAAGTGGTGGGGAGAGCAGGCGCGCGATTGGACCCCGGCGGAGGAGTGGGGATGCGCGGCACGCCATTGGCTGGTGGCCTCGCGAGTGGTGGGGATGGCGCGGCGCGACGAAACGTTTCCGTTAGGCCGCCGTGTGACGCTAATGACTCGGCCGTGCCAATCGAGATGGCCGCCGCGGACCTCAATTTCCTACGTCGCAGTTAGACGTATACGTATATCACCGCGGCGAAATTGAACTCTGTCTTTGACGCGCGACCGCTTTCGCACCATGAATATCGATTGGCCGACAGGGCCGTTAGCTCGGCGGATTGATTGCGCGGCGGGAGGGGTGGCGCGATCCATCGATCTCGGGGCCTGTCGATCGCAGCTGCGCGTGCGATCGCCGAATCGGTCGCGCGACGCGCAGCTCAACGTTTAACCGGCCATTTCCTTTCAGCTTGCATATGATCCCGAGCACGGAAATGGCCATCAGCGGGTGCGATAGCTCGATAACGGACGCCCTCTGCCAGTCTACGCCATGGTGGATAGGTGAACAATGGGTCCCAAAAATCGAATTTCGAGGGGGGATGAAGGGGTTCCGACTGCACCTTTCGAAGATCCTCCCCTGTCTACGTCTCGGCGATTCCGATCGATCGACCTTCGACCGATCTTCCTCGAGTCGCTATACCGAGAAAAAACATGTCGTCGAACCAAAGAAACATTTCCTTCCCTTGAAAAATTATCATTTCATCTGAGTAAGGTCAAATAAATTGTCATAATTCTGGAGAAACGTTACATCGAATTTATTCCAATTCGTTCGAGTCAAATAATTATTCTTCGAATTAATAGAATATTTCTTTGGTTCGATACATTTATTACTTTTTGTTTTGCTCAGCGTACATTATTTCCCTTCACTCCTGACTCCCGTGGCGTCACCGCTGCGATTCCGCGGATCTCGGCTCGAGAGCTTTCATCTCGACGAATCTTTAAGCGCAGCTTCCATCGCGTACGTGCAATGTATTTCCGCGACGCGTTTCCTCTCTTCTCTGTATTTCCTCTCTTTCCGCCTCTTATTGGCCCCTTTCTCTCGCCTCCGCTGGCGTTCCGCGCCGGTTTTTCCAACCCGATCTCCCTGTATCATCGGAGATACGCGGATTCCAAAGAACGTCCGAATTCCCATTCGAGATTTGCATTAATCCACCGTGGAGGGCCATCGAAAGTTTCAATGACGCTGACGCTGGTCGGCCGAGAACCTCGCGAATTTCTACATTCCTGTGCGATAATCAGGGCTCGGAGGCGCGTTTTTATTCGGGAAAGGCTTTCATAAAACTCGAGTCGAGGTAGCGCATCCCTCTAGCGAATCACTTTTGCTAGAATATTTCCCGAGAGCGATTTTCCTCTACCTTTTAGCCTAACTTATCAGCATACCTTTTCGCGTATCCGATCGATGATCAGGGCGCGACGTAATTTTCGAGTTATGGGGTTGACGATGATCTCGGTCGGGATAAATTGAAGCGACGTTGGCTCGGGGAGTGTTTTCGTAATGTCACTCCTCATGATGTGGGGCGAATCCCGAGGGAATACGCGATGACGTATGGAGCACAGACGGGATCTTGAGCGGCGTGATCAATCGCCACGAGCGACACGCGTTGCGCGCACTTCGGTGATTTTTATGCTTAGAATGGGATGAAATGGACCCGCCATAAGGAAAATATTCACTGGTTTGTAATCTTTGTTCATTTGAATTGTCCTACAGGAATTGCGCGCACTTCAGTGCTTTCTAGGGGCAGGACGAGATGAAATGGACCCACCATCGGGCAAATATTGACCGGTTTGTAATCTCTGTTAATTTGAATTGCCTTACTGGAATTGCACTTTGGTGATTTCTAGGCTTAAAACGAGATGAAATGGACCCGCCATCACGAAGATATTGACCGATTTGTAATCTCTGTTAATTTGAATTGTCCTACAGGAATTGCGCGCACTTCAGTGCTTCCTAGGGGTAGGACGTGATGAAATGGACCCGCCATCACGAAGATATTGACCGATTTGTAATCTCTGTTAATTTGAATTGCCCGACAGGAATTGCGTGCACTACGGTGCTTCTTTGAATTACGACGGAACGGCACGGACTCGGTATCAGAAAAATATTGGCCGGTTTTTAATCTTCGTTAATTTGAATTGGCCGATCAATTGCGACGCGCACTTTGGTGCTTCCTTGAATTAGAATGCAACGGTCCGGACAGGATCTCACGAAAATATTGACCGGTTTTTAATCTCCGTTAATTTGAATAACGGAGGAAAAGATGAAGACGAGTACGTTTCCTCGTGGCACGATGAAAGGGGGGAAGGGGACCCGATGGAGCCTGAATCTGCATAATGGGAAAGCCGAAGACAAGGTTTGTTCTGGGAGCACTCCGAGTTCGAATGGACCCTCGGCTGGAGCCTGGGCGCGGCTTAAATGGATCCATTTCGATTGGATCATCGACCGGTCGCATCCATCCCTTGTACAGCGACCCTTATCCCCTTTTAAACAATTCCATCCGCATCCCCCCTGGTTGCGGCACCGAGGGGAACTTTTCCCGGCCCAGTTCTCTCCAAACTTCCGGTTTCCTAACCTCGTTAAGGCATTTTTAATCAGCACCCCAGCTGGCGCGGGTCCCCGGGGGTCGCGGAACCGCTGATTCGCACATCCCGCTGATCGTAATCGCCCCGGAGGCCCTTATTAAGGGCTCGGCCGGGAAATCCTGGAGATCGCCCGGGCGGAATGGAGGAATCCTATTTCTCCTTTAGGAGCGCCATCGCGTTACGGCCGATGAGGTGGGACAATGCGGGGATAAAACGAATCTGGAGCACCGAGGACTCCCGGCGGTCCATTGACGGTCAGGGATTTCCTGGTGCGGCTCCATTCGCGACTCGATAGGGCCCGGAAATCACCGCGCTCCTCGGGAACGTTTTCCACCCCGAAGCGTCACCCGGAAGAGGCCCTATCCGAGAGCGAGAAGTGGACGGAGCTGCTGCAAAGAGATTCCCGGGGAAGCTCACCTTTTTGAAGTAGCCGCCGTGAAGTCTCATGTGGCCATTGAGAGCAGGGATGTTCTTGAAGGTCCTCCTGCAGAGGTTGCACTCGACGGGCTTGGGTTCGCCCTGGGTCTTGTTGGTCGCTCCAGGAGAAGAGGTGTTGTTGGGCGCGGGACTGGCCTTGCCGCCGTTGACGCTTCCTGGCGAGTTGGCCTGCTGCTGGGGCTGCTGCTGCTGCGGCTGCTGGTGCGGTTGGTGCTGGGGGTGCTGGTGCTGCTGCTGTTGGTGTTGCTGCTGCTGCTGTTGCTGCAACAGGCACCCGACGGAAGAGCTACAGAGGGATGGACCGAAAGAGACAGGTCGGGGACGGAAGTCCGTCGCCGTCGACGGAAACGACGCGGCGTCGCAATTAATTCGTACGTCGGGCGCAAAAGGTACGTCGACGTCAAAGAGGCCCGTAATTGGACGTTCACGGTCCACGGCGTCACCGAGGATCTCTAGGAAGGTTCCTCGAGAAGACGCCGCGAACTCGACCCGGTCTACGAGGGCCAGGGCAATAAATGGGATTTTCGTCGTTTACAGGGACGCACTTTCCCGAAGACCGACTCCTTTCACCGAGGCGCGCTCTATTTACGATATTACCGAATTTCTGTATTAATACGTAGCCCTATTTGTCCGCTTTATTGCATCCCGGTGCGCTCGCAGCGGCCTCGCCGCTGCTAGCGACCTTTTTTCCCGGTGCCACGCCCCGAGGAGCTCTAACTCGTTTATCATCCGAAGCCATTCCGTCCCTTTGATATCGTGCTCTGCATCGCTAATAAGAGAGGCCACTTGTCTGCGAAGAGAGTCGTCCCGCTTCCTTTCAGCGGCCTTATTCCGTTCCGTTTCCGGTCCGCCCCGTCAAAAGGGACTCCAACCTCCAGTCGAGGACTGCCACTCTTGGCGAGCCCTCGCGTTTCCTCGTCTTCGGGCTTAACATTCCGGGAAATTACTCCCGAAGGACTTCCTGGATTTTCGAACGACCGGACCCATGCTTCTGGAATTTTTTTAAGTCCTTTCCAGAGACCACGTTCGGACGGTCCTCGCGTTTCGATTTCTGGGGAACCGGACCTCCTGGATACGGATCCTTTTCTCCTCGGACTACCCTCCACGTCGTTCCCGCGATTGTTCCGTTCCCTGTCACGGGGGACTACGGCATTGGAACGGGTATTGTAGACGATAGCTGGAACGAGAGGAACGGTGTGCCCCTCGTAGCCCCGTCTTCCGTCTTAGCATTCCGAGAAATTACTCCTCGAAACTCCCACCGGCGAGGCCGGGTGTACGATAATTATATGGCAATGTAGTACGCTCGAATTCCGGGAGGAACTCGACTCCCCACCCTCCTCCGAGGCTCATTCTTGCATTGTGCCAGGAATGCGAGCGAGAAACTTCATAAGAGAAACTGCTAACTACAGATCGGGAGCCAACCGATTCCTACCGTAATTTCTGGCCCTCCTTGCACCACCCCCGAGAGCCTTGCAAGACCACCCCCTCTTGTAAGTGCAACTTGCACACGTGTACTTCAGCAGGTAGACTTAATTGTCTTGGGAGGCACCCTCTTGCCCGGAGGAGGTGCAAATTGAATGCACCTCTGTTTTCGACTAAATGGGTGGGTCAGCAGTGCGCCCGAAAGAATGGAAATTAATAAATAATGAAGCAGCTACTCAAGGCGATAAAAAAGTTCTATATATTGGGCTGCCTCATAATTTCGTACGGTTTTTTTAGATTCAAAATTGCGCCAATATCATTGATTAATTGTTATGTTAATTTTTGTTTTAAATACAAAAATAAATAAAAACCGCACGAATATACGAGACAACCCATTATATTGACACGAAAAGTATTTATAGAACTATTATCCAAAATGGGTGCATCGAATAACTTAAAACGTTACCGCGTCATTATGGAGGGCCTAATGAGGGTATTGAAACTCGGGAAATTTCATTTTTTAAAAAGAATTTTGTATTTATCCCGGATAAGCGCCAAAAAGGCATTATTTCGGAAAATAAAATTTCGTGAGAGTCCTTTGTTAGGATCTCCATAATCACATGTCAAAGTTTCAGATTGGAGAAAATATTTATAAATATATTCCTGCTTTAATATATATGTATAGAATGACCCTTTCATATCACCTGAAGTGGCACGAAATATTAGCAAAAATTCAAGAACTTCCTTCCACTTTTAGGCACTCCCCCGCTCCTAGACCGAAAGGGTAAATTTTATTAGCAAGATTGTTTTTACGACGATTTCGTGTGAAGCATGAACCTGGAGACTGATTGAAATGGCTTAAAGAAGTTTCGCTGAAAAACAAAAGGAAAATAATCGAAAAATATGAGAATTCATTTCTCACCGGGGGAAATCACTCACGTGATCGGGCGGCTGCGTCGATTTGTCTTCTCGCCTCCACACCCCTGTGTATTACGACACCCTTGGTCCCTAATGTAAGTCCACACATGTGTCTCGGGGAGTTCGCCCTAATTGTCGAGGAATTACCTCCCGGGAAGAAAATGAAGTTTCACTTCATTTGAGCTAATGGGCGCGGGTTATTGATGATTGGGGGGAAGCACGGTCCCGATTAACGAGCTGGAATTCCATAAGGTCGTAAATAAAACGTGGGAGGAATCCGGAAACTGGCCATCTTACATCGGGATAGAGATATCCCTCTTTACGGGGTATCCCGATTTCACCGGCGACGTTATCAGTCGAGCCGGTGATACGGTCTCGCGTTTCCTCGGGAAACTCGCTGCGAGGACTTTGTTATTTTTCCGGGGAATCGGATTTCCCGGGAACCCTCGGCTCCGCTCCACTCTTCCATATTTCCCGGGAAAGAGAGGATCGGTTAACGAGGCGCCCTCATCTTCCGATATTCGATTTCACCGCGCGTAAGTAGAAAGAGAGGAAAAGAAACGAGAAAAGAGTTCCAAACGCGAGGATTGCTGGATCTCTCGGCGGTGTTTCCTTCATAACGACTGGGAAAAACGCAGCGACGTCCGAGCTGGTCGCAAGAGGGCGCCAGGTGGCGTCTTAGTACGAGGACGCGCCTCGAGAGGCGCCACCATCGAGGGATGCGCGATGCTCGACGCGACTCGTGAAACACGGCTTAGGAGGGCTACGAGAGGGTTGTTACTTCCGGGGCGGTCGACGAGCCGGTATCTCGGTTGGTCCTGGCATGTATGATTAAATTAGAACAATGCCCAACTTAATGCGCTCTCCACTCGCCAGTTTACCACTTACAGGGGGGCCGAGTAGTTCGGGAAGTTGGCGAGGCACTTGCGACTCGGCGTTCCGTAATTTTATCGCCACTCTCCTCGAAGACGATGACAAGGAGCGGTCCGTCGCGCAGATCCCGGAGAATCTTCGACTGGATCCTCAACCAGGAAGGATCCCAGTCGGGAGGTAACGAGACTGCGAAAGCGTCCTCAAGATGGCCGCAGTTATGGGCTCGGAGAACGGTTTTATCGATCTTCCGCCTCTAAGGGACGTCGCATGGACCTCGAAAAACGCCCTTCCGGTCCTATCACCGTTTCCTCGGAGGGCTTTAGTCGATTCATCGAGTTCACTTTTCTTTATCTCGGAGAACGGGGGCAAATAAGTGGCGAGGTGGGCAACTTCGCGCCGATGTTTCTGCCGCGGCTCTTTAAGCGCAGTTGCAGATCCTCGAATGCGCACCAGGTGCGGTCGGGCAGCAGTTTGCGACTAGTGGTGGCCGCGCGGGGAACCCGGCACATCGGATAACCGAAGTGCCCTTAATCTTTCTTTTCATTTCCATTCCATTTGTTTTCCCGGCCGACGTGACCCCAGCCAGAAGCGCTCGAGTCCGGGGTCGAACTTCGGGGAAGTTCCGCCTCCGCCGAGAGGGCAGCACCGGGACGTTCGACACCGGCCGGGCCGAAAAAAGACGACTCTATCCGCCGGGAAATCTAGGCCGTGATAAATGAAAGGCGTGTCACGCGACGCCGGTGGAGGGAAATAAACAAGGGGGCGCTTAAAAATGAAACGTCCGGGAAACGGAGCGCGACGACCGGCCTTAATTTCAAGACGTCGCGCGATCACGGCGGCGATCATCGCGGCGATTTAGGGAAATTCAGGAGTCGCCATGTTGCCCATTCCGCTGGCGGAGGAGAACCTCTCGCCGCGGGTCCAGAAGAGAGTCGGATCATTCGGATGGAGCAATTCCCCAGCCCTCGTTGTCCCGCGGCCCCGATACGGCGTCTCCGAGAGACGCAAACGGTAACGACGTCGTAACAACTCCGTCAGCGTTTTAACTGCGCTAACGTCGTTATAAAACGCGAAAGGCAAGCCGGGACACGCGCGCTCCTTTCGCGCGGTCCGGAGAAAGAAAGAGATTACGCGAGAAACGCCGGTCGTCACGGCGTAATTGCGTTTCGTCGTCCGCCGCTCCATTCCGTCCCTTTGACGGGGTCGGCCCGACTCGACGCTGCACATATTCCGAAAATATTACACCGCTTCAAAACGTCATCCCGCCTTTCTATCCCCTTTAGGGCCCTCCGTTTTCCCCCAGGAATGTAAATTTTTGATTTTACACGTTTCCGAAACGGGGGATCCCCGCGGCATTACGACCCCACCTCGGTAATCCACCCTGTTGCGAATTGCGTTTTTATGGAAATGAATTTTCAGGGGGGAGTGGGGGGGGGGGTCCAATTTCGAAGAGCTTTCGTTACTCGGATTTCCTCGGATCCTCGGATTCGAATTATCATCCCCCGGGGGGAATTGTTCGGCCTACTCCGGGTCGCTCTTCGTCTCCGCGTTGTCGAGGACATTAGGTGGAGGCGCGACGCGGCGGATCGAAGCCGAGGACACTTAAGGGTATGAGCTCGGAGTCTGAGATTGCGGAGGACGATTGGGGTGGGTGGACCCGTCTCCAGGGGGTGCGAAGGCTTTCCAGGGGGCGAGGGGAGCAGAGGATGCGGATCGATTTCTAATCCCGCGCTTCGCGTCGACGGGAAGAGTTTAAGAGCACCTTTTGCGGGACCCAAGATGGCGGCGCGCAAGAAGAGGACGCCTCCGCCTGGACGTCGATTTCGGCCGGTTATGAGCTTAATCCGGCGACTTGCTCTCGGAAAGCACGGCTTGGTCGAGAAATCCAGGACGATTTTGGGTATTCGCGACGAACTGGAAACCTGGAAACTCGCGAGGGCTCTCGCGGCGGACCGCAAACGGAATCGGGGAATGGTCGTTGAGCGGGACCGGTTCCATTAATTTCTCCCTTCGATGGCGTCTTGTTCCCTGTATCGCTGCCCCACCGG